TTCTGACTACTACAGAACCTTAGGAAAAAGAATGGAATGTCTTGGTGCAAAGACAGTAAACAATTATGAGATATGAGCAAAACAATTTCTTCATTATTGGCCCTGGTTTCTGCTTTCTTTCTGCTTAACAAGTTTCCCTTCAGGTTGTTTGATTTGCTTACTGGACATCTTCTGCAAGTAGAAATCACAGTGAGATCTAGTTACAAATGGACTTTTGATGTGTTTTCAGTTCTTGTGTGGGCATGGTGGAGAGCAAGTAATACTGAAATTAGTTTAGTATGAACGAAAAGGATAGGGATCCTCTGCAGCAATTCTCAGTGTAGTAGATCATAACCTGAGCATGAGACACAGCATCAGCCTTGTGAAAACAGCGGGAACTGTACTGGAATGCCTAAACAGAAGTGAAAGCTTCCAGCCATGACAAATAATCCTTATCTCCTCCACATTTTGGTTCATCTTATCTGGGATATTTGGTACAGTTCTGGACGGTAAAATTCAAGGAATTAGTAGGACTGAATTAGTAGGACTGAAACAATTTGGATTATTTGCCCGGAAAGCTGATGGAGCAGATGTGGCAGGTATTTCCTCCCCCCAGCTAACCTGTTGCTAGGCAGATTCCAGGGAACCTGCCTATGTGGGCTAGTCCAGACTTGTCTATGAAACCTGAGCTGGTCGGGACTCGGTAACACCCAGGAAGCTGGCCAGCAGCCAATAAGAAGCCGAGTTGGCTATGGTTGACCACAGTCATCATTGACTAGTCTTTAAAACAGGGCTCTTGCAGCGGCCATGTTGGAGCTACCTTGTGGCGATGGGACTGCCCAGGTTGTAAAGTCTCCCCCTTGGTCTAGGGGATCCCTAGGCAAGGCCGACCAGGTGAGAACAGGAACGCCCACCTGGTAAAGGTATCCCCTGGCAAGGTTAAAAGGGAGAATGGGAACCCCCCCTTTTACGGTACCTTAGTGAGAACAATCAAGAAGAGAAAGGGAACCCCCAGCTTGATTGAGGTGAGTGTATGATAATCCGGATTATCATTCTTTTGTCAAGGGCTAGTGCTTGAGCTTAATCTTTTCCTCAACCGATACTGAACCTTTAAATTCAGAGGAGATTATATCCTGTAAATAAATTTAATTTAACTACATGCGTGAATTTATTTTTTTTTTGGATATGGACACGTTACTCACCTCCTTCTTTACAGCAGATCATCCTGAGTTCTGTATAATTGCAGCACATGCAGGATAACCAGGTGATCAGACTCAGTCAACACGAGTTTATGAAGGGCAAGACCTATCTAGCAAATCTGATCTCCTTCTATGACAGGGTGACCCACCTGTTGGATGAGGGAAAGGCTGTGGATGTTGCTTACCTTGACTTTAGTAAGGCATTCGACACTGTTGCCCACAGCATTCTCCTAGACAAATGGACTGCTCTTGGCTTGGATAGGCATACGCTTTACTGGCTAAAAACTGGTTTTATGACCAAGTCCAAAGAGTTCTAGTCAACGGAGTTAAATCCAGTTGGCAACTCGTCACAAGTGGTGTCCCCCAAGGCTCAGTACTGGGCCAAGTGCCGTTTAACATTTTCATCAATGATTTGGATGAGGGGCTAGAGTGAATTCTTAGAAAATTTGTAGATGACACCAAGCTGGGTGGAAGTGTCGATCTGCTTGAGGGTAGGGAGGCTCTGCAGAGAGATCTAGACAGGCTGGATCACTGGGCCAAGGGCAATCAATCACATGAGTTTCAAGAAGGCCAAATGCCAGATCCTGCACTTCGACCACAACAACCCCCAGCAGCACTACAGGAAGAGTGGCTGGAGAGCTGCCAGGCAGACAGGGACCTGGGGGTGTGGATGGACAGCTGGCTGAGCATGAGCCAGCAGTGTGCCCAGGTGGCCAAGAAGGCCAACGGCATCCTGACCTGTGTCAGGAGTGGTCTTGTCAGCAGGAGTAGGGAGGTGATCATGACCCTGTGCTCGACTTTGGTGAGGCCTCACCTTGAGTACTGTGTCCAGTTTTGGGCCCCTCACTACAAGAGGGACACTGAGGTGCTGGCGAGGGTCCAGAGGCGGGCTACCAAACAGGTAAAGGATTTGGAGCATGTGTCGTAGGAGGAGGAACGGCTGAGGGATCTGGGGCTGTTTAGCCTGGAGGAGACTGAGGGGAGATCTCATTGCTCCCTACAACTACGTGACAGGAGGTTGTAGCGAGGCAGGGGCTGGTCTGTTCTCCCTAGTGATCCATGACAGGACAAGGGGAAGTGGCCTTAAGTTGCACCAGGGGAGGTTAGGGTTGGATATTAGGAAGAATTTCTTTACTGAAGACATCAGGCATTGGAACAGGCTGGGCCGGGAGGGGGGTGGGGGAACATTCCTTGTAGTGGAGTCACCATCCCTGGAGGTGTTTAAGAGACCTGTAGATGTGCTGAGGGATGTGGTTTAGTGGTGTTGATAGGGCTAGGACACAGGTTGGACTTGATCTTCCAACTGAAGGTCTCTTCCAACCAAAGGTCTCTTCCAACTGAAACTGTTATGATTCTATGATTCTATGCTTCTGTGACAAGATCTGCCCCTTCAGATGAAAGAAGTTAGTTCTATTGATGATATAGAAATAAATAAAAAGAGAAACTGTAAAGATTGTAATTTCTCTTTTAAAGAACACTAATGGATGCTCATCTTAGTAGGTAAGATAACAAAGTCTGAGATTGTGAGGACAGTTTTAAATAAGAGTTGTCATCATGAGCAGTGGGAAACTGCCTGCAAACAAGTTCACGACAACAGGAGCACCACCTCAGAGTGGAATTGTTCTTTATACCACATCACTAATACAAAACTATCTCATCCTACATATGAGAAATAGCTATATTTTGATTTTTGCTGTAAAGTATCTTTCTCTGCTCCTGTATCTAGAAAATCCTGGCTATTGTCTCACTTCTGACGTCCCTCACTTGCATTTTTTTTGTGCTGTTCTATTTTCTATTAATCTGCCTCAGTTTAACAAATGAGAAAATGAGGACCAGGGAGCACATAATTTGATTACTCATGTTTGCCTAAACATTTGCCCATATTGCAGAAAACTAATTCTAATTCAGCAGTACTGTTTTTAGCCTACTAAAGCCTAAAAAGAGTTTGAGGTTATAGGAGTAGTCCAGATGGGAATCATGCCTCCCTGTAGTCAGCAGAGATGAATGGGTATTTTTAGGGAGAGGTTCATGTGAAGGTATCTATTTCTCTCTGTTGTCATCATATTGTCTCTCTCAGTGGCTGTAAAGGGAGCCCATGGTGATTAATTCTGATGGAGATATCTGCACTGTAAATGTCTACAGTCAGTCAGAATCCCGCCTCTCTTAATTCCAAGCTGCAGGTGAGGGAAGTTTTACCGAGCCAGACTGTGATTTACACTTGATTTATACCTAATTGTAATGAGCAGTTTGGACACTGGAGCTGCTGAGGGACATGTATACTGAGAGCTGGTGAGTGGCAGTCAGTACCTTGGTAAGAGAGTGAGAGGAGTATAAAATTGCCTGGAGCACGCAGAAACACACAATCATTCAGCCAAAACTGTCCCTCTGTACTTACTGACTTTTTGGTGAATGCTATCTACCCTCACCACTCTCCTGGGATCTTGGGCATCATGGCTGCCTTCAACCCTGCCTACAGCTCCCTCAAAACACATCACTGAGATTATCTTCATGGCCATGTGTGCTGCCTTGTTGTTCCTGTCAACAACTCTCTTCCAAGCCACAGAACCGCAAAATCACAGAATGATTGAAGTTGAAAGGATCTCTGGAGGTTATCTTGCTCAAGCAGAGTGACCTAGAGCTGGTTGCTCATTCCAGCCTAAGACATTCTATGATTCAATGATTTAAACAGAACTGGACCCAGTATTGACTCTCGGCATACACTGCTATTTACTGGCATCCAACCTCACTTCAGGCCTCTGATCATCACCTTCTGGGCCTGGCTGTTCAGCCAGTGTTCAAAACACCTGAGTTTCCTGCAGATTTTATTCACTTGCAGAGGAATTGAATTCACTAGAAGTTGCTTTTGCCTCCCCAGTGTAGAGGACCTGCTGGCAGCTAGGAAGATGATCTATGACCTTGATCTATGACCATCCTGGACCTCAATCTAAGATGCAAATTCTCTCCTACTGGCACACAAGGGAGATTTCACATCAGAAGAATCTTTTTCAAACTCTACAGACTGAGATGGAGAAGTTCTTGTTTGAGTCTGACCAGCTGTTTCATGTGTGTTTTTGAGTTATGGACATCAGTGTGCATTGCTTGTCTTTTGTTTCTGTCACTTGGCAAACCATCATATTAGACCTGTACCTGCTCCTGGAAACTTCTGGTGTGATCTGGATCTTGGGAGAAAGAGAGAGAGAATGTCCAAGATGGAGGGTAATATGTATAGCTGAAAGTTATGATGCAATGCTCATTTCTACATGACTTGTTGATAAAAGCAACTTCAAACATTTTCTAGATCATTATATTTTAATCACAAATTCTACGAAACACATAGTAAAGGAAGTGAAAGGAACCAATTTTCTCTGCCTACCACAGAAATAAAATTAATTACTAGATTTTAAGAATGCCCAATCCTTAAGATTTTAAAGAATTAGAACTCCAAAATGAAGCTACTGCATGACCTTTTTCAGAACACAGTATAAAGAGTATCACTCTTAAATACATCAGAACCTCCATGGGCTTGGAGAGCTCCTGACAGACCACCAGCAACACGGTGGAAGTGTGTCAGCTGTGAACAAAGAGCAGAGCCACTGAAGACTGGAATGGGAGCAAGAAAAATGAGGCCAGTGTGGTCTTGCATGAGTTCACAGTCTATTGCTATGCTTTTCAACAGCTATAGGAAGAGGCTGGGCAGTCTAGGAAGCCTCTCAAGTGATCTACTGGGCACCAGCAGATGTACATGAATATGAGAACAGTGCCAAGTTCATGTTCCAAAGTGTGTGGTATTTTCACATGTAGAAAACAAAATAAAAATAATTTTCATGAGCTTCTAATGTATCATTTATTGCTAATGTTTCATTTTTTTCAATAGCTTCATAAAATAAAGTAAATTATGTATGGTGTATGTTTTTATATGTTACAGATACAAATTTATTTTTCATGTTCCACATAGATTTTAAGTATTTAATTGCACCAAAGTATTAATTTTATAAAATTATTATACTGGGTAATGTCATATTAATCTGTTTATTTTAAAACTTCTAGTAGTATTTCTAAAAGCTGAAAACTAGCGGAGTAATCTTTATGCTCCTCTGCTTGCTAAAATAGTTGTATTAAGCTGGATGAATAATGAAAGGATGAAATACCCTATATCATCATCATTTTACTGTAGTCATGTTTTATTAATCAAATTCATCAGTTTGCCAATTTTCTTTAAAACTATGTTGTGACATTATTTCAAGGATATTAAATACAGGAGAAAGAGTGAGAAAGTAGGGTATTTGTGTCAGTAAGTGGTTTGGATCTCACCACTGTAGAGTTTTTTTATTTTGATATTTTAGGTAAACTGACCTTAGAAAGCTTTTTGAGGCATCCACACAAAATTAGCACCCTTACATGGTATCAAAACCCAATGGCAGCTCTGCTTTGTAGATATTAAGTGCTCTCTAAGCTATGCACTCTGAAATCAAGTCTAGGGCATCTCACATTCAGCACGCAGAGTTGCAGGGTGGTTTCTTTGGGAAAAACTATACTTTTCAAGTCCCAGAGTGATAGTGCTTGCCCTGGGCTTGAGTTTTCTTGGGGGCCTCTGAGCCCTTTCTCATGGCCATATCCCTGAATGTAGCCTCATCACTCTCCTGCCTCACTCCGCTCCCCTGTGGAGCACTGTGGGCTCATTGTGCTCTAGGATCCTCCCTCTGGGGCTGGGATGAGATGGAAATGTCCTGATTGGAGCAGAGCCTGAGGGGAGGTGAGCTCTGACAGGCTGTGGGTCTACCTCACTGCTGCCAGAGAAGAAGTGGCCAAGGGCAATAGTTTTTGGCCAGCAAAGGAGAAACGGATGGTTCCTCTTCTGAGGTGTTACCACCAGGTCTCAACTTTTTCTTCCTCATTCCTTCTGCTTCTTTCCTTTCATGTGCAGCCAAGGGCAGGTCTGAGTGTCCCTGGCTGCTACTGTGTGAGAAAGGCTATGTCACCTCCTAATGGGACAAAAACAGAGGGAGTAGAGCAGAGATCAAAAGAGAAACCTAGAAGCAGGAAAATCTCTGTCTTCTGCTAGTTCAAGGTTTGGCACCTCATCTTGCTATTAAATCCTGAGGCTCAAAATACTTTCCTAAAGTATATTCTCCTCTTTGCCTCTTGACCAGAGAAACAGCTTCTCCCAGACCCAGCAATTTTGACTAACGGGCTTAGGAAGCAGTGGTTATCTATATGTTAAAAGAGTCTCAATTGCAGGGTTTCAAATTCACCTCTCCTTGCATCACAGCATCCACAAAGTTTGCACTCAAGTTCAGTGCCACCTTTATGGAAAACCTCCCCTCCACTTTCCTTCCCAGTGACATTTACTTCAGTGATCCCTGAGAATCACAGTGGACATCCTGGTATGTCTGACTTCAGCTAAGTTTGTTGCAAAACCAAAACACAATGTTTTTTGTTGAGATTAAAAGTATAGTGAAAAAAGAAAGAAGACATTAAAACCGTAAATACCCTACAGACATGTCAAGCTTACCAGGATTCCCGTTCAACAGAGAGTGTTGGGACACGTAATTCTTGAGTTTACTTATACTTTGCTCCAGACCAGGTCCCTTTTGTTTCTTTGTAGTTTGACCTCTCTTGACAGGCATCCATCAATAGCTAAAATGGTTATGGCAGTTTCTCTCTGACTATAAAAAAAACATCTCCATGGCCAGGTATCTCCATAGCCAGAAGCAGGTATGGATATTAAGCCTCTGCCGTGAGGGCAGAGATGAGCACGCACGTCTTGAGGTAGCCTGCCAGTGGTGATGGATACACCTGCAGCCACAGCATCTGCTATGTGCTGGCTCTCAGACTCTCAGGGGAGCTCCCTGTGGGCACTGTGAGAGGCTCAGCAAATGCTGTGTCACTCCCTGGGTGGAAACTATTTCTTCTGTGATATTTGTCAATAGAATGGGGAATGTTGTAGTTTGAGCTTGCCCTGCCAGGAAGAAGAAATATGCAGCCTCATCCTCACCCTCAGCCCCTCTCCCTTTGGGGATTGAGGGTGGAGAAATTCAGCAAAAGGCTTGAGGATTGAGAGTAAGACACCACTTATGGTTGCAGGCAAAAACCAGAGAATCAGAGTAGACTTGGGGAGAAAACATAAATTTAATTTACCACCACAAGTTATCAACTAGATCAGGGTAAGCTGAACACCAAATCTTAAATACACTTCCCCCCACCCCTCCCTTCTTCCTGGCTGCCTCGTCCCTCACCATCGCTGCAGAAGGAGACAAGGGGTGGGGGATGCAATTTGTCCATGACTTATTGTCCATGGCAATCCATTCTCCTTCAAAAGAGAATGTCTCACAGTCTTCCCCTGATTTCATGTGATGTCCATCTCATAGGAGACAACCCTCCTCCTCCATATGAGTCCCTCCCACCAGCGTGAAACCCAGCCATGGGCTGCAGTGTCCTCTGCTTCAATGTAGGTCCTCCTCAGAGTCATGGTTCACTTCGGGTGCATCCTCTGCTCCTACGCAGTCTCTCTCTCCCTTGGCATGGAGTCCTCACATGCTTTTGCATCCTGGATGTTTTGCTGCTGTTGATCTCCTTGGTTTGCAGGCTCTCTCATCTTGCCATCTCAATGCAGGCTCAGGGAGACCTCTGTCTTGGTGACCTTCTTTCCACCTTTTGTCCATACTGACTGCATGGTTGACCTCTTTACCTCGCCCTCCTCTCCAAAAAAAGCAACTCCCCAACATAAAAGATAGGACAAGGAGATAAAGAGACAAAAAGGCTGCCCAGCAGGTTTCCCCTCTTAAACACATTGATGGCAGAGGTGCTGATTGGCCTGACCTTGTCCAGAGGCAGGTCCAGCTCTTACCTGGGCTAGAGGAGGCTGGAAATTTGACAAGAAGTCACACCCACAGCCCCTACTGCTACCAGAAAGCCCTGCCAGACACAAGTCCATGACAGTGGGGAAAGACAAGCTGCCTTGGCAGAGTGTAAATTCCCCTGCTCATCTACCAGCTCTCCTTCATCAGATGCAGAGTACAAGTGATGAAGCTTCTCATGCCAGATACCTCATCCTGCCCCTCTCTCTCTGCACCCTGGGTGCACTGTGCCCAGTAGAGGCCACTGGGGTAAGTGAGGGAGGTGGCAATTTTGCTGCTATGGCTATGCCAATGGATTTGCACTGAAAGTAAAATTATCCCTGTTTTGCACCATCTCCTATTCCTACACCCTGGTCTACAGCTCTCCACTTTCCAAGAGGGTCTTCTCTGGAGTGTAAGTATTTTCTGTAGAGTTTTTTGTTTTCCTGAGTATGATACTCCGTGAAAAAAATCCATGAGTCTTCTGGAAAATTTAGCCTAAAATATGTTGCCACTGTACCAGTAAAGAAAACCATGATTTTTTATTTTTTTTAAGATGAGGTCTCCCATTAGATGCAGCAAAATTAAAGCTACTGACAAAATTATTTTGCTTTCAGTTTGGATAGATGTGTTGCTGACACGCACAGTTTGCATGTGGCTAAGGTCGCTGGGAGAAGCCGCATGAGTGCTGAAATCTGCTGCTGGAGTCAGGGAGAGAGGCAGCCTCCTCCAGTGCCTCTCTCAGGACTCAGAGTCTCTGCCTTACATGCTGTGCCAAAAATAGTTAGAAAACACAAAGAAGAACATGTTACAAGGATTGTGTAGGTATGTTGCAGTTTCCCAGTGACAGATGTTTTCCCATGTGCTTCCCAAGAAATTTTCTCTTTCTTATCACAGAAAGGAGTTTGGTCTCTTTATGACAGGCAGTTAAGGGACTTCTCTGGGGTCTTCTCCCCCTTGCCTTTACCTCTGTGCCGGTGTGACTTTTACTGTAGGTGGAGCCCTCCCAGTTTGGAGGAGATGACACGTCTCTGAGCAGCATATGCCTGCGTTGTCAAGATGAATCAGTCATTAAGTTCTTGGTGGGGGAATAAGTCACACTGTAGTTTCTCCTCTGTTTGTCATGGATCAACTCACAAAATATCCATAGGTGTCACCATTTGCAGGGGTCTCTTGCTTTGCCTGCACAGTGCTGTAGTATAAATACATGGTTGGGATTTTTGTTCATTCATTTTTAAGGTAATAAACACAATGACTTCACATTACCACTTTTTTTTCCTCTTGAAACTTCTGCAGAGCACTGCAAACACTCCAAGTGTAGTCCTAGGGATAGAGTTGTTCTTTGGGAATCTGCAACATATGAGGCAAATGTAATATAAGGAGTTCTTAACCATGCATTAGAAACTGCTCTGTACTTGTCAGGCAGGACAGGGATGCATCATAAAACGTGCTCAGGCTGTCCTTACAGTTTCCACCATAACCATAACTAGCCAATCTCAGAATTCCTGGTGTTTTTTTTTTTTCTGACAAGACACCAATAAAAAGAAAAGTATAACTTTGGAAGGGAAGGAAAAGTAAATATGAGAGAGTAAGGAGCCTCAGACTGCAACAGGATGTTGTGCTGGTCACTGCTGACAAGAAGAAAGAGCACTTCCCAGTAGTTTGTAGAGCCCAGATGTTCTTCTGTCTGCTTTTTGTCAGGTGGGGTACCTGGACCAGCTTCCAAGCTGGCCCTGGAGGCTATTTGAGCTTCTTCTCACTGAAAACAGAGAAGTCCCAAGGAGGATTCGATGACACAGCAGTCAACAACATCCAGTTCAGATGCTTAGATACAACTGTGCTCATAAATGATGGAATACTGTGGGGTAGATTTCACAATTAGAGCAAAATCTGCAGCGTTTGCCATCTACAGACCAAGGCAGAGCTGCAACAAGGACTTTGGGATGACACAGCACTCAACAATGTCACGTTCTTCTGCTGTAAATAAGCATTTGCTCCATCTTCATTGCTACCTACACAAATATCCCACAGCAAACGAAACATCAGTAAAGCTTGGCTTTATCTTTATACTGGGACGCGCCTGTGATATTTTAACTGTTTGCATCTTGCTATATTAGACAATACCTTAGATGATGATGTCTTTTACTGTTACCACTGTGTTGGCATAGCTCCTCATAGTTACCTGTGTTATGTTCGCAAGAATCTTCACGTCACATAACTGCTGGTATATCACTGAAAATGCCCGATCGGTGACAATTACTCAGAGCTGAGGAACAGATTTCTTGACTGTTTTTCTCTGACTAGTGAGCTTCAGGTTTCCTCTGGCCATTTTTTCCTGTCTGAAATAATATTTGACCTGTTGACATGACAGACAGGGGAGAATGGGTGTTGATTTGAGTGTACCTGAGGTTTCTGACTGAAGAGAAAATGACCCATGAAAGCTAAATAGGGTGAAATGGAAATCTGGATAGGCTCATGAGAAGCATCAAAGGTTTGATATTATTGGCCACTCCTAACTTTAATTGCCTCAAGACTTGTACATGTATTTTATGAGCAATTTGTTAGCTCATACCTAAGCTCCTGCCTTTTGAAACATGCTTACAAAGTATGCTTACACTAAGCGTTCATCTAAGTGTGGTGATGGTGCCACTTGGGTGGGCTGTATCTTCCCAGACCTTCCTTGTTGCTGCTTTGTAGTGTGCTCCATTGTTAATTCAAAACTCATTTTCATGGGACTTGGTTTTTTGTTTGTTGCCTCTGGGTTTCATGCTCTAAATAGAACGGGGAGAGTCCAAACTGAAAATAGGCTCTATGCCATTCATCCATTTTTTGTGCTCCAGTTTGCTAGCTAAGCTTGAAGTCATTACCTTGTTGTGATGTGCTAGGTGTAAGGAATGTAATCTTGGTTTGTAATCTCCAGTTTGCCTGGAGATCGTTACTGTGCCCTAATGTCTGAGCCACTGGGTCTCTCTGGCAAGAGTCTGAGAAGACTTATTGCCTCTCTGAGCACCCATTAGGAAATGTAGCTGTTGCTATTCCCTCAAAGTAATGCATTCTATCATGTACACGAAACAAGGTAGGGGCATGATGTTGTCATTCTCTAGGTGACAGATTGGGCTGTGGAAGTGTCTTGTTCAGGACCACAGCCATGCGGAGCTGCGCAGAGATGATGGATGGAGGTTTCTTCTGCTAGTTCACATCCTCTGCTTAGCACATATACATCAGCCATCATCACTCTGGTTCTTCACCCACGTGAAATTTTCTTCCTGACAGTTATCTCAAAAAGCACTTGATTAATAACTGTATTTTCTTTTAAGAGAAATGGAATACAGTAGGCAAAAGAATAGAACAAACATGGTATATATTTTTGTTAAAAGATTTTTGATAAAAAAATCAGGGTGGTTTGGGGTTTTTTTTTGAGTAGATCACTGGTCTGTCTAACTCTATGTACTGTCTCTGGTGGCAGTGCTCAGTATCTAACGCTTGCTTCCCATAAAAAGTGTCTCTGAGTCAGGGAAGTGATGCATATGAATTTTTTTGGCAAAGCCAACAGTGATCATTGAATGCTTGGTGTTTGCTTATGTTCTCCTATACTGGGCTTTGGAGCACACAGTAATTTCCCATGATGCTTGTGTTGTTTGGCCTCCCTGTGTTGATTTTTGACAACACAGGAATTCTCCAAGCGGTGGGTGATGAGTGAAGAAGCCAGCCATACAGAACTCAGGATTACTTGCATCTGTTGCAACCAGGTGAAGAATGAAACATTTCTCTTGGCTCTGTCTGTACTGTACAAGATATTGGTTTCCATCTTCTGCTTCCTGAGGCACAGCTGGGATAAACTGATGCATCTCCACTGGCATAATTCAAAGTTACTTCAAGAGAAGCACTTATCAAAATCTCAGTGGTGCGAGAAGAAATTTTAGAAAGATTTCTGGATTTAAATGATTTTATTATAAAAAAATTAATATGAAACTTTCCGGCCAGACTTTCTGCTGCAAATTTGCATAGCTAATTTGAGGATCTGATTAATTTCTTAAGCTGGTTTTTTTTAATAATTCGCTATTTTTTAAGTGATCCTTTAACTGCTTTTTGTTCTCTTCTTGACTGCAGACTTTTAAATGTGCAACTATTTTTTAAAGAAATGCTTATTTCACAAAACTAGCCTAGTCGGCACTTGAAATACAAGGGATTATTAGCTTTATGGAACCATTTTGTAGCTTCCCTCTCTATTTGGGTGTTTATGAAAAAAAATCCTTACTTGTCATATATTCAGTTCTCGGTAAACATTCAAATCCCTCAGCTCTAGTACTTAGTAACAACAAATGAGGTAGTAATCTTTTTCTAACAAGCTGAACTAAAATAAATTAAAACTAAATTCTGATACTGTCACAGTGAACTTAAGTTAACAGTGCCCACAGAGAAACTTACCTTCCACAATGACTGAGTTTTCACACCCTGCATGTGAATGTATCTTAATTTGCGTCTAGTTGCTTTCTTTCCATTTTCTTATGAGATAAAGATTTTTCAGCTTGCAAACTGACCATCCTGTATAGTTAGTGAGGTGTTATTTGAGGATGTAAAACCAGAAATAGCTTCACTGATCCAAATAAAACTGTCTTCATTCGATGAAAGTGAGCAGGAGCCATAGTGACACTATCTGCATAATCTTGCAATTCACTTTGCTCAGGCAGAGGGAATCCCTTTCCTCAGGCAGAGGCAGCTCTGTGCACTTCACAGAGGTCTTAGAGGGCCAACTACTGGTCACCTTCCACCAGAGGAAGCAAAAATCAAGTATTTTATATTACAATAGTATATGAAGAGTGTCAACAGCAAATATGGTGACATGATATTTCAAGCATTTTTTTTCTCAGCATGTGAGTAAGTTGTGTACCTTGGAAAGATATGCTATGTGAATCCATGTTGTGTGTGTAGCCAGTGATGTGTGGGGAAAGAAGTCTCATAGTTTCTCTGTTCCTCAGGAAGAGCTGGTTTCTAAGAAAGTGCTTGAAATGGCCATTATTGCTGAGCTGAAGTGCCTAAAAGATGGAATTACTTTTCTTTTGAGTGATTTGTTCAAGAGGCAGTTCCTGTTCTATGTATATGTGTATGTATATGCAGACAATTGAAGAACTTTGTGTCGCACATTTCTCCAGAGGGTAGGCCAAGCTGGAAGACTCTGAACATCTGCTTCTTCTCTGCAAATGAATGATGCAGTTAATTTTGAGGTTGCATTGGGGGAAGAATTATTCACACCATCAGCAAAACTGACCTTTTATGCTTCCCTCTTGTGCTGGGTATAACATAGCTTCATATCGGTGTGTGAATACACCAAACAAGAGCTCTTCCAAGAAATGTCTGGGAAAAACAATACCGCCTACTCTTTGTGTACTTTCTCATCTATTTATCAGCAGCTTCAAAATCAAATGGGGATGTTTTTGTCATCTGAGCACTGATGAAATACTTTCAGCCAGGCCTCCTATGATGGTCTGCTTGCAAAACATGGGTCATATACAGAATAGCTGGAGTCAGAATGCAATTTAGAAGCTTGAGCTTAGCAGGTCTCAGCCATTTACTGTGCTCAGGGTGGACAACTCAAGGTCTTTCAGCTGAAATAAAGGTACAAATGTATCACCAAGTGTGCTGGAACCAACGTGGCTGAAACTGTGCATATCTGGAAACCGAGTAGCTACATTTTCTTGGCTTCAGAAAGTCTTTGTGTGTCCCCAGCACACTTAGGACCAAGGAGCATGTTGACAAAGAATTGCCAGCCAGTTCATGTGGGATGACAGGGGCACCAGAGGCAAGACCAAGAACTGAGCAAGAATTATCCCTGCATTTACTGATAATGCAGTAATTTTGAGGCTGGAGTGTGAGCAAGTGTGGGGGAAGGCAAAGAGGACTTTTCCACCCATCCATGCATGTGTGGCACAGATCCCAGGGAGGCTGGCAGAACCATCAGGTCTGGAGATTTCCAGATTTTTAAAAGCCTCTATTGAATAAGACTGAATCAGACCCAAAACAAACCTGACATTAGTAGTGCTTCGATAAACCAAGCTTTGAGAGTCCTAGAAAATTTGCCTTAGAAATATTAGTCTTTATGGTCACATTGTTCCCACTCCACAGGGAAAATAAATATTTCATCCATCACAGGTGATCTGAAGCTTAAGTTACTAATTTTTGTGAGATGCAGAGAAAATACTTAAAGATACTTTAGCTAAAACTGGTTGTTAATGCTGTACATGATAGAGATGTGCACTATGCAGCTCAGGGTTAATACGTCACAGCTACCTTTGCTAGCCCTTAAAGCCAAGTCTAATTAACTAGCATGATTGCCAGTGAGGAACCAACTGAAAACGTATGTTTTAGAATTTTCTGAGTGTAATTATTTGGAAATCTTACTACAGAATGTGAGCAGCAGAGAATATTAATCCATGTGCCATAAAAACAGCAAGGCTTTGGAAAGGTCATTCATGAAGGACTGAATTCTGGCTTCCATCCTGCCCTGCAACACTGAGCCCGTGGGTATGCCCTCATCCCACAGGACTGAGTATCTATGATGCTGTGCTCAAATACTAATGTTTTTTTCTGATAAATTGTCACGTGGTTTGTACCCACCTACTTTGTCTCCATGTCTGCAGAAATGGAGTCTATGTGAGGCAGTCCGGGCTCTAGCAAGTTATGCTAGAAACTGTTGTCCTGGCAGGAAGAGGGAGTAGGATGTGGCTCAGTGAAAGCAGGGGAGAACAAATGAGCTGTCTAGCAGTTCAGAAACACAATTAGAAGGAAGGTGATAACATGTATAGAAACCACATTTCTCTTGAGCAGGTAATGTGGAACTTTTTTTAAAGACTTGCTCGCCTCTTGCATGCATCCTGTGCATTCCATGTCCTACCAGAGCACAATCTCAATCACCTCATATCGCCTTACAAAACAGACTGACCCTGTATAGCTTACTAAGATTTGATGGCTCCTGCAACAGTTCAATTT